CTGTTTTTCTTTACGCGACTTTGCAGCACGGTTACGTTCTTTATTTTGTCTCTCCAGGATATCCTTAACATTCTTCTGTATACCCACATTTCGAAGGCTTCAATCTTCTTACAGCTCGATTCTGTGAGGGTCCATGCTTCAACGCCATACAAAAGAATGGAGAAAACATAACATCGTGCTAATCGTACTCGTATCTGGATGTTCAACTTTTTATTGCACAGAAGTGACTTTAGCTTAAAGAAAGCATTACGGGCTTGTTCTATGCGGCACCTTAGGAATACTTATTGAAAGTCTATTATGCTTTTACCACTAGTTCGGAAAAAACCTCTGTTCTGGGAGGAGGAACTAGCAAAAAACCCAGCGGGGCTTTTTTTAAATAAAAATTTACAATACAATATGATGTACAATTAAATATAAAAACATTAAAAACAACATGGTGGTAATCACCTCATTTCCAGGGATTATTAAAAATCATATACTCCTTAGTTTTTTTTATAGGATAGGCCGTCAAACGAGCACACAGTCCACCTGATGGCAAGTGGTTGCTGTGGCCCATAGACATCTACATGTATCCTCATTAAAGAATTAAAATGCAGATGCGTCGTCACCCGTGAGGACTAAGATGGAATGCCTTTTTTCCAGTAAAATGGGTTTCCGGTTCTCTACACTCACCACACGAAACACAGCAGTGTCATGCTGCCATTTTACGCCGGTACTCTGTGAGAGCGTGGTCCTTTCCCGATCGAGCGGGCCCATTCGTGCTACAAGTATACTACTGATATAGCTGCGGCATGGCTCTACCATGTATAAAATTTAGTAATATAATAACCCTTTTTGAACTATTTTTGCTTAATTTAAATTATAAACATTATGATAGATAAGTCCTGCATAATTTCTGGGACTCTTGTAAAATCGATACATTTCCTAATGAAGGAATTACTGACTCTAAAGAGTCAAGTAACTGGTATAACTTGGTGCCGGCCGCGACCGTAAGAGTTTACGTTATCGTATTACATTCACAAGTACATAATTTATTATTACGGAAGCATTAGTATGAGTATTATACTAACACATTCAACGACTTCGTATGGGGAATGTTTAGCATGCATTTAGTCTTAGATACGGTTATGATTGTATGATTAACCCGTCGTGTGACAATTTGATTATATCGTCAAAGTCATGTTGTGACAGTTTCAATGTCCCTATTTTCGTTAATCTTGCACGCGTTATCCGCTACATAATATGTGTAATTTTAACCGACTTCAAAAAGGTGGAGGTACTCAATTCGACTGTATGTTTTTTACATGTGTTGATGTTTTTTTTTTATTTGAAAGCTGGTGCTTCTCATGTGGTCCCATATAAATTTGATCAAGGTCTGACCAGTAGTTTTTGAGTTATCATTAATAATTTATATTGAAGTCGGTTGCACAACATTGTTAATTTTATCACTTATTATAACACTTTGCTGACGTGCATAATGTACCCGATCGGGTCACAGATTGACACTGTCGTTGATTTATACGTGACAGAACCACGCTGTAATTATAATATTATGGTTGTAGCACAAATGTGTCAGCTTCCCCTGGGTAAGTACGATCTCACAGAACACCAGCGTAAAATAGCAGCTTAATGCTACTATGTTTCGTATGGTGAGCGTAGAGAACCGGAGACCTATTTATCCATTTTAGTCTTCAGGGTTGACAATGCATCTGCGTTTTGATTCTTAATCGAGGATAAATATAGATTTCTATGGACCACAGCTTTAAATCTGCTACGCACATATTCATACACTTAAAATCTTATCACATTTTAGTTAAAATTACGTTATTGTATACGTGGTTGAGCCATGCTGATGCTATATTAATAGTATAGTTGTAGCACGAATGGGTCGCCTCGACCGGGGAATGACCACGCTCTCACAGAATACCATCGTAAAATAGCAGCTTAATGCTACTGTGTTTCGTATGGTGAGTGTAAAGAACCGTCCTATCTTAGTCCTCACGGCTGACAAGGCATCTGCATTTTAATTCGCAAACGAATAATGATGTAGATGCCTATGGGCCACAGCAACCACTTACCATCACGAGGACTGTGTGCTCGTTTGTTACCCTTATTCTATAAAAAAATTAAGGAAGATGAGGTATAAATTTTTATATTCAAAATATTATAATTTTCTTCATCTCGGCGACCAGTCTCAACGGAGACTAGCCATCTACGCCGGACAGAATTGTAGTACACGAATATATGTGCAAGCACAAGTGTACTTACTAATCATTCATTACGATCCAAAACTTAATCAGCAAGCAGCGAGGCGTACAAATTGCCCCATAACCCTCTTAGAAACAAAAAGGGACCTGTGAATTTTTTGTATTTTAATCGTGAAATTATGATTACCTTGTTTTGGAATTTCGACCGGACATACTCCTATATACCACAGTATAAATTCCTACTATATATTTATACTGTGTATATACATTCAAACTTAATGCATACGTATATACGCACATCTCAACATACATATGTATATACCAGCCCGAATCCTTACCTGAGTAAGACTTCGCCTGAGTAGGGTAACCATATAATTTCCCTTTTTAATTGCGACGAATTACATCACGTTACAATAAGACCCTCAATACAAGACAATACAGCACGAAAAAGATGAATATTTAAAAGATAAAATAATTCAAATTTAGAACAGGCGTGTCTTTTTTAGTAGAACAATAATAATTATGTTCACAATAGCGTGCACCTGATAACAACTGCAGTATTGAAATTCGACCTGTTTAGCGAGACGTGCACGCCATTCATTAACATTATTACGTGCTACTTTCAAAAATAGTCGCGTTAACTTTCGATTGATTTATCACAAACTTCAAATACATCATTGACAAATTCTTTTAAACGTTGCATTAATTTTGGGCTTGATTAAATCTGTTATAAAAGTCAAAAACTACACCGGTTCGCAAAAATGAGACCTGAGATTCGCGTAGTGTATATTTTCTTTGCCTAATATAAGGCAAGAAACTCTGGGGTCTTTTCTTTTTATATATTTTTTTTAATTTATACTTCATATACACACATGGTAGGTATATATGCGGACTAAATGCCTAAGGCATTCTTTACCAGTCTACCTTTGAATGATGCAGAGATAGAATGAATTAGGTGTAGTAAAAATTTAATATGAGAATACTAAAGTAAAATAACTAAACATTTTGTAATACAATTGTATTAAAAAAAACATGTAGACACTTTTTTTTATAGAAGAGAGGGCAAACGAGCATGCGGCTCACCTGATGGTAAGCGACTACCGCCGCCCATGAAGAACCGCAACACCAGGGGATAGGCAGATGCGTTGCAGGCCTTTTAGAAAGGTGTAAGCTCTTTTCTTGAAGGTCCTTAGGTCGTATCGGTCCGAAAAAATCGCCGGTGGTAAGCAATTCCACAGAGAAGTTGAACGAGGAAGAAAACCCCTAGTAAAACGTACAGTCGTGGACCGCCAAGCATCCAGATAGTGAGGACGGTATCGTGAATTTTGACACGATGTACGTTCGTGAAATTTGGCGGCTGGAATTTATCCGAACAATTCCTTAGAGCACTCCCCGTGGTAAATTCCATGTAGTAGTGGTAGTGACGAAGAAATCTCACACTTCTTGTCGCCTAGCTCCTATACGCCAAACCCGTACCGTCCGATAAGGAACTTCGTTCCAAAATTTTTTTTAAATGATATGTAACAGTTACCTTATCAATTTTTATAACAATTCAATTTCAAATTTATATATTAACTAGCTGACCAGGCAGACGTTGTTCTGCTCTTTCTGACGACCCTTCCTATAAAAAATATTTAAATTTGCAATAAAAAACTATTGAAGGTCACTTATAAAAACTCTCCTATTTCTCAAGTTGGACCAAACTGCACACAGTGTTCCAAATTTCATTGAAATCAGTTCAGTAGTTTAGGAGTTCACCGCGGACAAACAATGTGACACGTAGTTTTTATATATAAAGATTAAACAATACAATATCAGTTAGGCAATTTTAACAAATATAGTCAGTGTCAAGTCAATTTTAACAATATATTAGGGACTTGCAAATTCAGATTAAGAGTAATTTTCACACACGATTTTCCTCAATATATGTATTCCGTGCGTACTCGTAGTGTATACCTCGTATAAGAACCGAATTCAGAATGTAAAATTATTTTATTCTTTTTAGTTGTTTGAAATTGGCGTTTACTTTTTATTAAAAATGACTGGAACGAAGTTCTTCATCGCACGGTACTAATTTGACGGATGGGGGCTAAGCGAGAAAAAGTATAAGATTTTTCCGTCACGACCCCCCTTTTTATAGTGCGTGCGTGATGGAATAATATCCATCTGCCTCGCACTTTTTCTTATCTTACCATGAAAGAAATATTATTTTAAATGACGCTTCATTTTAATAGACCCTAGTATTGGGAATTTATTAAAAATAAGTAAATTAAACGCGATAGAATCCGTAAAAGTAGTTTTATTCAAGACGCTAGTAATTCATTTATTTGTATTTTTAATCAATAATACAATACGTTTATTAAATATATGTTTGTTAAATATAATAACATACCACGAAAGGAACTTCGTTCCAACCGAGTGTCCAGAGACACGCACACAACAATAAACATTTTGTTTTATTAATCATTAAAAAGAAAATAGTTTTCTACAGCAATGTCAAATGTACTCACAGTACACCTCATTGTAAGTGGCTACTGCAGTCCATGGACACCTGTACCAACAGCTAACTACAAAAAAAGTAGGTGACAGATCACAGTCCGTGGGAGTGACTAAGATGGGATGACCCACAGCCTGTAATAATGCTATCTCCCAACCCCTTAAGTGCGGAACACAGCAGTAGAAGCACCTGTTATTTGTCGGCAGAAATAGTCTCCTAAGCAAAAAAAGTGTCCTACCGCTTGGGAAACAAAGTTTTATAAAAAAAAACTTTTAATAATAACTGTCGTCTTACAGATGTGCGGTCCCTGAATGCGACAACGAGACGGCAGTCTCTAATTTCACAATCCCGCATTACGAAGACGGTACGTACGCGAAGTGCGTTCGCCACGCGCCATTCCCCAACGTCAGCTATTTCGTCAACAACAGCATAGGAAGGTGTTCACCTGAATACTTCGACACTTCCACTGAGATCGGGTGCGAGTCTTACGTCTATATGGAAGAGCACTCCATTGTTAAAGAGGTCAGTTATATTTTTATATAAGTTAGTATAAAAAAAAAACAAGCACACAATTGACCCGATGCTAAGAAGACACTAAGACCAATAGACAACTAAATCTATCCTCGATTAAGAATCAAAATGCGGATGTGTATTGAAAAATGAGAAAACGAAGATGGATTGCCTCGTTACTAATAAAAAGGGGCTCCGGTTCTTTACACTAACCACACTAAACTCAGCAGTATCATGCCGTTATTTCAGTAGCGTGTTTCTTCTCCGATATATTTAATCCATTCTTAATGTAGCCATAATATTATATCACATCATGGCTCTAACACCCGAACAATATAATAGGCATAAGTAAACTAAATAGGTACGTCATGTAGCTTCTGGAAATTAGCGGAAAAATGGGTCTTGAGGTGCTGTCCCGTGCTAGATAAGGAAGTCTGCGCTGACCATTGCGACCCAGATCCGTGTTGAGGGTTTCAAATTTAGTAAATAATTTCAAATAAAAAATTTTGCACAACCGTCTTCTCAAAACTCAAAAACTATTGGTCATCAAATTTATATGGGACCACATGAAAAGCACCAGCTTTAAAATAAAAAATAATCATCGAAATTCAGAAAAAGTTATGAGGTAACACACATAAAAAACATACAGTCAAATTTAGTACCTCCTCCTTTTTGAAGTCGGTAGAAAAATATCTTTTAGTAAACGAATTTGATTATACTTTCAATACGTTTATAAATCCCAACTAAGTTAATTATGATACTTACTTACCTAGTACCCTCTCATCACCAATCATACAACAGTATTAACACTGAAGACTAAAATATTACAGGGTCAGGTATATTTACGAGAAAATTCATTAAATAGATTGTCAATGGAGGCGACAGAAGGAAATTGAAACAGGAGATGGCCAGCAGCATCATCCTGATAACAATTCAAAGAGATAATTATTTTAATCATCCGCGTTGCGCCCCCCGTGAGGTAATCTATCTCGGAGGTCTATATTCCACAGTGGACTTTTAATAGGATGTAATGATGATGATGCTATGGTTACGATATATATCGCGTATATTACTTTATGAGCGGTAATTGCTATAAGGACTGAATGTTAGACAACAAAATGTAACCTAACCATAGTTTATTATATCAGAGTGTGTCCTGACAACTAAAGCCACACCGCTTGCAGCTGTACTGGGTCTCATAACTTTTAAACCAGAATACGACTTTGGGGGCACTACTACTTGACGGCGAAAATGAGTATGAATAGTACTATACAACAACATGGCTCTACCACGTAAAACAACTTTTTACGTGGTAGAGCCATGCTGCAGCTATATTAGTCATATAGTTGTAGCACGAATTGGGTCGGCTCGACCGGGGAAGGACCACGCTCTCACAGAATACTAGCGTAAAATAGCAGCTTAATGCTGCTGTGTTTCGTATGGTGAGTGTAGAGAACCGGAGACCCGTTTTACTGCAGAAGAGGTATTCTATCTTAGTCCTCACGGCTGACACCGCATCTGCATTTTAATTCGCAAACGAAGATAGATGTAGATGTCTATTAGCCACAGCAACCACTTACCATTAGGTGGACTGTGTGCTTTTTGTCACCCTTATTCTATAAAAAAAAACACAACGGCTTACCAATATCATAGCTTATCGTGACACTTGGCGATCTGTTCTCTCTGGCTACCCCGTCAGGGATTGTGCGTGAAGATAAGTAAGTAAGTAAGCTTACCAATATCATCAGCATTATTACAGCCCTTCACAATTTCACTGTTGAACATACGTAGGCCTCCTACAAGGAACGCTTCAAAGCATGGTCCTGAGCCACCTGCATTCATCGAGTTCCTGCATAATATCTTACCAATTCGTCATTCCATGTAGTGGGTGGCCGCCCTATACTTCGCTTACCAGTACGCAGTTGCCATTCGAGAACCTTTCTTTTGATTGTCGGTTTTCCGAACTATATGGCTAGCACTTCTGCTCACAAAGCCGTTGGGCTATGGCATTTGCTCTGGTTCTAAAACGACTTAAATTTTAACATTATTTAAGCACCACAGTAACCCGTCCTGAAAAAAACGAGGCGACCATTTGTGTGTGCTTCGTTCACAGCGTCATTTGGGAAATTAGCTTATATTAAAAGAACCATGCAGCCGCTTTGTTTCAAGATCATAGTTACACAGCGATAATAGAAGAGACGCGTGATTCAGAATAACTTTCTGCTAAAAGACAGGTCCTTGGTTCTAGTCCCAGAAGGAGATAACATTCGTGCAGTGCATTACCGAAATGCACGCAATGATATCTTTTTTCGATTGGCGCGGTCGAATCTTTCGGCTCCGTCGCGGCGCGGTCATTTTATTTCGTTAAGAAACTTCGTGAATTACGTACAGTCCGCGTTCATTTTAAAGTACTTATAGAAAATAATCTACTCCGATTTGAAAGGCCGGTATTGCATCTGCAATTCCTCTAATGGCAGGTAAGGTGAACTGCATGCTCTTTGGCATCTCTATAACGTGGTAGAGCCATGCTGCAGCTATAAGAGTAGTATAGTTGTAGCACGAATGGGTCGGCTCGACCGGGGAAGGACCACGCTCTCACAGAATACCAGCGTAAAATAGCAGCTTAACGCTGCTGTGATTTGTATAGTGAGTGTAGAGAACCGCAGACCCTTTTTACTGGAAATGAGGCATTCCATCTTAGTCCTCACGGGTGACAACGCATCTGCATTTCGATTTGTAATAGAGGATAGATGTAGATGTCTATGAGCCGCAGCAACTACTTACCATCAGGTGGACTGTGTACTCGTTTGTCACCCTTATCCTATAAAAAAAAATATAAAAGAACGTCCTAAAAGACTCATCGAAAAAACTGTTGAAGACTGTGAATATTTTAAACGTAAAATAATTGTCTGGTCGCCCCGTGCCAAGGACACTAGCTGCGTTATCTCGCTGAATGGCTATACCTAGCTTTTTGGTGGCCAGTCGTGGATACAGTGCCTTTACAAACTTAACCTTATTCTATAACAAGTGGTAAAATTAAAAATTTTGTGCAACCTACTATTAATATAATTAATTAAAGATAACTCAAAAACTACTGATCAGACCTTGATCAAATATGGACCACATGAGAAGCAAGAGAAAAAGACACATACAAAAAACATACAATTGAATTGAGTATTAGTTTTTTTTTTAAACTAATACTTAGAGTCCACGGACCGATAATCTCTTCAGAAAATGGCCCAAATATAATTAAAAATTGTGTACAACCGACTTCAATATAAATTATTAATAATAACTCAAAAACTATTTATTGGTCATACCTTTATCAAATTTATGTGGGACCTCATGTTTTTTTTTATATGATGGGGTGACAAAGGAGCACACAGTCCACCTGATGGTAAGTGGTTGCTGGTGGTGCTCTAATGCATCGTGATTTTATGTAATAATATTTTTGTATCTTCAACTGTAATCATAACTGTCAATGATTACAGTTAATAAATTATAATAGTATCTCACACCTCATTTACCTAACACCATATTACAGATCATTAATCACAAGTTGTAGTTCAATATTTTCCTACTATTATAACATTGCGCAACACTGATAATTTATATTTAAAGCGACTGAGTCGATCGATTTGCTATGTTTTTTAGTCCAACTGATGGTAAATGTGTGGCTGCTGTAGTCCATAGACATCTACGTTTGTCCTCGATAAAGAATAAAAATGCATTACGCGTTGTTTTTTTATAGAATTAGGGTGACAAACGAGCACACAGTCCACCTGATGGTAAGTGGGTGCTGTGGCCTATAGACACCTACATCTATCTTCGTTTGCGAATTAAAATGCAGATGCGTTGTCAGCCGTGAGGACTAACATAGAATCCCTCTTTTCCAGTAAAATAGGTCTCCGGTTCTCTACACTCACCATACGAAACACAGGAGCATTAAGCTGCTATTTTACGCTGGTATTCTGTGAGAGCGTGGTCCTTCCCCGGTCGAGCCGACCCATTCGTGCTACAACTATACAAGTAATATAGCTGTAGCATGGCTCTACCACGTAATGAAAATAAAATTGTCACCCCTGAGATGGAATGCTCCGTTTTCTGGTAAAAAAGGGTAATGTTACAAATGGTAATGGTACCAAGTTGTAAAATAAAAACATTTTTACAACCGACTTCAACATAAGTAAAATGAGAACATCAATCGTAATCGAGGTCAAGTAAATACACATTATTAACAATATTTAATATTCTTAATAACTCAAAAACTACTGGTCAGATCGTGATCAAATTTATATGAGAGGCACCAGCTTTCTAATATGTTTCATTCATTCATTTATTACAGCCTATCAAAAGTCCACAAGTTGAACATAGGCCTCCCACATAGATAGCCTCATTGGAGGGATATTAGCTAGAGTTACTACGCTTAGGTTGGCACTACTATACGGTACATCATATAATAATGTCCTCCAGACCGAATTTCAGTCAAGGCGGCCAGACTCAACGGAGGTTAGCCATCTTTTTTTATAGAAGAAGAGGTAAACAAGCATGCAGCTTACTTGATAGTAAATGACTATCGCCGCCCATGAACAACTGCAACACGTGTAAACATAAGAAATCATCCAACCTCGTATTGTGGAATTTTAGTTATTCCATGCGCGTGCAACTTCATGTGAAAACTTGACCGTCAACGACACGATAAAATAGTCACCACAATACATATTATGAGACGGTCATCAAACTATCACCAATGTCTCAATAAGATAATTCAAACTAAAAATCTATTAAATCGTATAAATACACAATTTTAAATAATTTTCATCGCTCAAAATTATTTACATTTTACGTGGATAAAATAAACAAGAGTCATTGTTCCCGACGTTAACGATGTTGACTCTCCAAATACAATTAATGTCGAATTAAATTGAGCAAATGGAAGTTTAGCTCCTTTTATTCAAATTAATGAACTGTATTTATTCGTTTAATAAAACAATTTGTGATCGAAGATTAAT